GACAAAATTATCCAATATGCTAATAAAATGTTTTGTTTACTTAGACACAGAAAAATGCCTTATCATTTACTTAACTATATACTGTCATTGGGTGCAATTACTCATAATTCTGCATAGGATTTTGTTAATTGTGATATAAAATGATTCTTTCATTTTTAAAAATTATATCCGACCCAGTCGGTTTGTTATTTTTGATTTTTGGATCTTGAATGATCACATACAATTTTCTATAGTTAATATATCAGAAAAAAAACATTTACATAATAATGTATTTGTTCAATCCATATCCTCGAAATTATTTGATCAGTGTCCATGTCTACTCTTTTATTTGTCACATTATTAGTTAAAAGATTCTGAAAAAGAGATATTTAAGAATATGCTAATAATTTTTAATTTTTAAAAATGAAAGAATCATTATATTTCTCACATTATTAGTTAAAAGATTCTGAAAAAGAGATATTTAAAAATATGCTAATAAAATGTTTTGTTTACTTAGACACAGAAAAATGAAAGATCATTTACTTAACTATATACTGTCATTGGGTGCAATTACTCATAATTCTGCATAGGATTTTGTTAATTGTGATATAAAATGATTCTTTCATTTTTAAAAATTATATCCGACCCAGTCGGTTTGTTATTTTTGATTTTTGGATCTTGAATGATCACATACAATTTTCTATAATTAATGTATCGGAAAGAAACGTTTACATAATAATGTATTTGTTCAATCAATATCCTCGAAATTATTTGATCAGTGTCCATATCTACACTTTTATATCTCACATTATTGGTAAAAGATTCTGAAAAAGAGATATTTAAGAATACTTCAATTGTTTACACAAAGCTTGCTTCTGTTTCCTTAGTCACTCTCTCAGTCTCTCGCCAACTGCCTTGCTCGAGTTCGAACTCATCACACGTTGCACATCAATATGCCATCGTAGACAAGCGAACTACAAGATCAAGACGTTTAGATTGTAACGTATTTTTGTTAAAAAAACCAATTTAAAGATTGTTGTTATTTGTTTGCTGCCTAGCTTTGATTAAAGGGTCCTTGATTAAATTATTGTCCTGTTAAAGATTCGATGTCCTCGCATTAATTTGTTTCCCCCCCCCCCCTAAATATTCTCACTTTCAAGCTCTGAATTAATATCTGTTTGATTTTTTTTTTCCTTCTCTTCTAATCTTTCAATCTTGACGTATCGGAATTTTATGTACTGGGTGGCTCCATCTTCTCTATCCCAAAATATTTTTAAGTGTTTATTTTTGTTTTTCCATTCTGATGCTTTTTGCGATGCTAATGGTGATTATCACATACATATAGATATCATTAATGATATTGGTTCAAATGTTCAATTGAGAGTTTGGGACTACACTGCAAATAAAAAAACGAAGATTTTGGATCAAATCATTAGCCAATCGACATTACAGGACCGGCCTTGAGGGCAGGCGGGCGAGGGAAACGACCGCCACGGGTATCCACTATAAAAAGACATTTTTTTTGCGGAATCTATTATAAATAGACATATTTTTTGTTAAATTTTTTTTTATTAGGGATCAAGCTCTAGTTTCTTTCGAATCCAGGTTTGAACAGTTCTAAAACTATGAACAAATTTTTGGGATAGCTATAGTTCAAAAACTCGTCTACGACAGTTTAATGAACGATTTTGCACGGAAAAATGCAAAAAGATCAATATTTCAAAAATAAACTATATGTTTTATTGGATCTATTTCTTATTTTTACAAACAGTTTATGAAGTTTGATTATTTTATGAAGTTTTTATTTTATTTTTTATTATTTTAATTTTGAAAAAAAAATTATAAAGAATATATTTAAAAAAATTAGACTTCCAAATTGATCGGTCCAACAACTGTCAACAACATCAAATATTCACTACATCTAGATTTCTAGATACCTCTAATAATTTTAAATAGCTTGATATTCTTATGGTTCAAGAGATTTGTAAATTTTGTAGACAATTTATATCTCTCGGGAAAATATCAAACCACAAAAATCACTTTGTTTCTTTTTACTAAATTTGTATGCACTGTAGTAATTCTACACAACTATGTGTTTGGAGAAAAACAATCAAATTTTGTATATTTTGTATTGTTAAAATAATAGTGGAATTGTGTTTTAAAAAGTGTTTTCCACCAGTTTGCAACTTATCAATCGTAGCCATAATTTCATCGATCACTTAAAAAGTTAAATAAATTGCAATTTTCTTAAAGACACAGTATCAAATGGGTTAGTGATGGCCGTGAAATCTATTATATAATAGGAGAATTTTCTCTCCATCTAGGGTGTCCACATCAGCAAATTCAAATTTTAACAGTAAAGCATATTTAAATTAAGTATTTAATACATATATATATTATTAGTATATTTAGTATACATTAAATAAAATAAAACAAATTTTAGTGTAAATAAAATAAGTGGTAGTTAGATATTAATACTTAAAGAAAAGTATAATACTAACTGGATTAGAAATATATATTATTTAAAATGATATATTATTTAAACAGAAAAAGTTAGAAAAAATGACGATAATTAAAAAAAAATGATGAAAAAATAGGAGGAAGAAGAAAGATCAATATATATAAAAAGATGCAAATAAATGCGAAACAATATCAGAATAAAAAGATGAAGAAAAACTGAAAGAAAAAAAAAAGAAGAGAAATAAAAGTTAAGAACCAGAGAAAAATGAGAAAAAAAGAGAATGAAGAACACGAAACTAATGAAAAGAAATACGAAAACAAAGACGTTAAAGATAAGGAAAGAGAACAAAAGATAAAACTAACAAATTATATGAGAATATGAAGATGAAGAGTATAAAAATCCAAAAAAAAAAAGACAAATATGATGAATTAATTGTTTAACAATTTGTAATAATAACTGATTAAAAATAAAAGAGTTGCAGAGAGTATAAATTAAGAAAAAATAAAAATAACAAATTATATGAGAATATGAAGATGAAGAGTATAAAAATCCAAAAAAAAAAAAGACAAATATGATGAATTAATTGTTTAACAATTTGTAATAATAACTGATTAAAAATAAAAGAGTTGCAGAGAGTATAAATTAAGAAAAAATAAAAATAATTTAAATAATTATAATCACACAATAGTAACAGATAAAATATAAAAATACATGAAATAAAATTTATCGAAGTTAATAACATAATTAGGAAAAATATATTGTTATATAGACGTACCAATAAGGATAACTAATAGAACACAGGTATTGTTAACACAATGCAAACTTAAAAATAAAACTATTAAACTAAGGAAAAAAATTATCAACAAACTATTTCTTAAGAAATAACATATAAAACATATAATAACATGAACATAAACTAAAATCCGCGCGAAACGCGGTCTCAACCCTAGTATTTCTAAAAAAACGAGTAACCCGGTCTCCTAATTCAATTCTCAGTTAGGGCATCTCTAACCCTACCCCATTTATTCCTCCAAATACTATTTTGGAGAAATTTTTTTTCCAACCCTATTCCATTTTCACCTACAAAATGGAAGAATGCCATTTTTTCCTCCAAATATGGAGTAACCCAATTTTCAACTCCATTTTGCAAGTGGAATTTTTTATTTACAAGATAATCTTTTACTTTTTATTAATTCTTAAAAGTATATTTTTATTTATAATTTAATCTTTTATATTATATATATTTAATTTAAAATTAAAGATAGATAAATTTAAAATTTGAGAATAGAATTAAAATAGAAAAAGATTAATTGAAACTATAAATAACATAAAATTAAAAATATATAAGAAATACATAAAATTAAAACGTACTTTATTTTATTATTTTAAATGGTATGTAGTATTATTTGTATATTATAATAGTTGAATTTAAAATATTATTATAATTTATAAAAGTTTTAACCGAAAAAAATAAATGGATTCATTTATAATTTTTATAAATAAAATGCATTATTAGTAATTAACAATAAAATAAAAATGAAGAATATATTTAAAATATTTTTTTTAGAATTGAAAATAGAAGAATACATTAGAGAGAAATCAAATTCCAGTTTGCAGTTTCTCTATTTTGGAGATAAAAATGGAGAAATACATTGAAGATGCTCTTAGAAATGAAATACGGAAACATCATTAATTACTTTGGTCCAAAACTCTTCAATTTAGTTAATTATTACTCATAATAAACTACAATATGAAGCACACATAATTTATGTTTTTTTTTATCAGGTACAAGCTTCGAAATAATAGTGATCAGATCCCATGTCAACACTTTATTTCTCATGCTGAGATTTTTTTTTATTAAAAAAAGAGATATTTAAGAATACCTCATATGATTATACTTTATAGCTTCGCTCTTCTGCTTGCTGCTTCCCCAGTCTCTCTCTCTAATAATGCTTAGAACGAGTTTCGAACTGATCACACGTTGCACAGAGATGTGCCATCGCAGACCTGCGAACTACAAGAGTCAAGCGCCTCACCCACAACGTGCATTTTATTTAACCGTGTATGTTTGAATTAGGCCATTTTACACATTTTTGGTAAACTAAGTTTCTTTTTACTTTTTTTTTTCGCGCAACAATGAATCTAAGCTACTCTACTACCAGTTCTTCTTATATACAGAATTAAGGGGGAGTTTTGAGCAAAACGATTTTTGAAAATGTAAAAAAAAAAAACACATCACAGAGCCATTTTCATTGAAGGAGCAACATTTCATTACATTTAAATACTGAATATGAATACTTTGTAAGAAAATACTACACAATTTCCTGAATTTTTTTTTATCGACAAAATTTCCTGACTTCAAATAGCAAATCTATAAAAGATTTCTTCATCAATTTTTACATGTCTTTAATTTCATTTTTCACTAGACTTTACCTATTTTGGTAACTTGTTTGCTGCTTAGCTCTCGTTAAATTATTGTCTAATTAAGATCTTATCCAATATCCACACGTTTGTTTTTCCTTCTTTATTTTCTCACTTTCAAGCTTAGAATATTCCTGTTTGGTTTTTATTCTTTTCGGCGAAACATGATTTTTCGAAATTTCTTCTTCTAATCTTTCAATCTCGACGACGTTTTTTCCTTTTCGAGTGGCTGTGTACTATCTTATACTTCTTCTTCATCTTCTTCAATCATCTGTTTGTTTATCTGTTGATATTCATTTTTCCAGTTATCGCTTTTTCATTTAATAATTTTTCTTCTTGGGTTTCTCAAAATTTGTCGTTAATCGATGAATTTTATGTTTTTCACCATCACCCATCTCCGGAATTCACGAAATTCCACGGCTTTCCCGTGAATTTTCTGGTGGAAATTCATAAATTGCTTCTAAAAGTTCACAAATTGATTGGAGAAAATTAGGGTTAGACTCACGAGCTTCCTCGATTTCACACACAATGAGTCATCGGCGAGATTCCGGCGGAGATGTAGTACACGTGATACCCACGAACAATCCTCCGCCGGAGAATTGGTTCCCGAATCTCGGCGATAGCGCCGTATGGGCAACGGAAGATGACTACAATCGCGTCTGGGCTGTGAATCCCGATAACTCTTCCGGCGATAACGGTCCTCCGAACAAGAAATCGAGAGGCTCCCCGTCGCCTTCGTCCGCCACTACTTCCGCCTCCGCCGCGAGCAACCGGACCAAAGCGATCGGGAAAATGTTCTTCAAGACGAAGCTATGCTGCAAGTTCCGAGTCGGGACTTGTCCGTACATCACGAACTGCAACTTCGCTCACACCGTGGAGGAGCTTCGCCGTCCGCCGCCGAATTGGCAGGAGATCGTGGCGGCTCACGAGGAGGAGAGATCCGGTACGGGAACGCCTACTACGGTTGCTGCGGCTGAGCCTCGGGAAGAGTTTCAGATCCCGTCTTTGGTGTCGTCGACGGCTGAGAGTGGGAGATCTTTTAAAGGAAGACATTGCAAGAAGTTTTACACTGAAGAAGGATGTCCTTATGGAGAAAGCTGTACGTTTCTGCACGATGAGGCTTCGAGGAATAGAGAAAGCGTTGCGATTAGTTTAGGCCCTGGTGGCTACGGTGGTGGTGTTGGTGGTGGAATTGGAGGTGGCGGTGGTTCTGGTGGTGGTAGCAACGTAGTAGTGCTTGGTGGTGGTGGAAATGGAAGTGGAAATGGAAATGGAAGTGGAATTCATGTTGTGAAGCCTTCAAATTGGAAGACAAGGATTTGTAATAAGTGGGAGATTACTGGGTATTGTCCGTTTGGTGCTAAGTGTCATTTTGCTCATGGAGCTGCAGGTAAAGATTTATCCCAGCTTTTCTTCGATTTAGTTTGCTTTTTTCTTTGTTAGACTTGATGAATGGAATTGTTAAGCTTGTGCATAGGTCTCAAGGTCTCTTGTGATTAGCCAAGCTTTCCAGTTGTCCTTTTTTGTAGGTTGGGTTATCTTAGAATGTTATAGCTAGTTTGCTTTTTGTTAGTTAAGATATATAGAAGTAGAAGTTTTAGTCCATGGTGAAAATGGAATTTAGGCGCTATAGGAGACTAACGAATGGATACAACAAAACTATAAAGATAGCACAAAGCATACCGGTTTGATTTGTGTAGGACTTGTATCAGTTGGGGAACTGTTGAAGATGTAATGGACCTGATATTGTAAGTAAAGAGACGAGTTGATGCAAATTGATACTTTAGGCGCAGGGCTGAGCTATACATTGCTTGAAATCTCAAACACTTTGATAGTAAATCCGTCTTACATTTCTGAAAAGGGAAGCTTTGTGTGAATAATCTCTAATGGGAAACAGTCTTAGATTTGTTGAATTTTATGACCTTAGAAAGTTCCGAAGTTGTGTGGCTCTAAAGGTTGAGTCTTTATGATATGCAGAGTTGCATAGATTTGGTGGTGGACTCGTAGAAGAAGAAGGCAAAGACGGAGTATCTCCCAATCCGGACGTAAAGCAAACAGGACCGAGCACGAAAGTACAGTCAGAGACAACAACACTTGTATCTCCGGGAGTTTCTCATCATGCAGACGCTGTTTACAACAGTGGAGTCGCATTGCAACGAGCTTCTAGTGCGGTTACGCAGAAGCCAGGGATCAGAACTCATCAGAAATGGAAAGGACCGGCCAAAATCAGTCGGATATATGGTGATTGGATCGACGACATTGAATAATTTATCCCTTTTTTTCTTCTTACAGATCGGGTAGATAACTGGTTTGAAAATTACAATCTCTTTTTTCCGAGTTTAAACAATCCAGTGATGATGGTACAGTTTGTTTGTAGAGCTTTGTTGTATCTTTGTAATGCTTGTATCTTGTTTTGTTGTTGTTGCTGTTGTAGATTATGACTTGTTTAAAATAAAATTCATCTTTCTTTGATTGTATCCTTTCCATTTTTTTTGGCAATCCCAAAATGTAGTCTTTGTACAAGTTATAATTATGTTTTGAACTTGTAAAACGGCTAAGAGTAGAAAATAGGTGCGTAAATTTAATCACTAAATTATGTATGGTTTTTGAACATATTTGTTTGTAAGTTTTGGTTTACTCAATTTTTTTGGTTCTTTTCATTATTTATCTAGAAGATCGATCACATTGAAAAACACTTGGGTATCAAGAAAACTGTTATGCTCTTGAATGTATAATATTATCTGTTATGCTCTTGAAAGTATAACATTTTTAATACATTCTTTTTAAAAATTTTCGTCTAATGTAACACATTCTTTCACAACTTACTAATCTAGCAAAATAGAATTTTACGAATTATAAAAAAATCATAATGCGTAAGACTATTTTGACTAATCAAAATTTTCTTACGTTGAGTAATTTTATTTGATCAAATTTAGTTGACTTGTTTCTAATCGTAAAATTTTTGTTTTTTATTTAATTAGCCGTAAATAAAAACCTAGCTTTTCTCACCAAAGACTCGCTCAAATCTCTCCTAACACAAACCTTACCTTTCTCCTATTTTCTCTCTTCCCCACTGACAATTACCCTTCCCACACGCAACCATCACAACAAATCCTTTTCTTCCTCCTCAAGCAACCTAATGAAAACCAGTCACACTATTTCTAACCCGACCGTTTTCACTCCACGGTCTTCTTCAAAATGTCTATATCCACGACCGGAACAAACACTTTCAAACCAGTCCACACCCTCGTTTCCACACCGGTCACCATAGTTTTGACCGGTGGTCTTCTCTTCATCGTTTTGACCGGTTTCTTCTCCTTCTTCTTCTGTGGATCTTTCTTCAACAAAATCTTAACCATTTTCAACACCCACCGTAACCGAAACCGTCCAAGTAACCTAAATCAACCATCTATCCCACCCGAAAACGCCGGTCTCGATTCCAAGATCATTCAATCTTTCCCTGAGTTTCCTTATTCGGTTAAAGATCGTGGCACGGATCAATGCTCCATTTGCTTAACCGATTTCATGGACAATGACACAATGAGACTCATTTCTACATGTAACCACTTCTTTCACTCGATTTGCATTGATCTTTGGTTTGAATCACACAAGACATGCCCTGTATGTCGACGTGAGCTTGATGCAGACCAGACCTCGCAAGAAAAACCGCATGCTGTTCTTGAAACCGATCTTGTTAGATCTGAAAGCCATGAAGAGCCTTTGTCTCGTGACACGTTGACGATCATTGTTCACGAGGAGCATCCTAGTGCTACTACTATTGGTAGTTTAGAGCATACAGACGAAATTGAAAGCTATGAAAGACGAATGAGAGAATCAACGCGGTTTTGGAGGTCACATTCTACTGGACACTCTATTGTTGTTAAAAGCGAAAACGAACAAGAAGAAGATGAAGAGAAAGATGAGATTAAGATACGTATTGAGATTTCTGGAGAATGTCAATTTGAAGATCACAAGAGGACTTTACCAAACAAAAAGCTGTATTGTGTTAGAGGAACTTACTCAGTAGGATAGAGCCTGAGAATGTGTATGTGAACTTTTGTTTTGGCAGTCCAATTTTGTAATTCTTTTTTATACCATAGGTTATACAAATTGAAGATGTTGAAGATTGTAGTAATGTCTGTACTCAAATTCTCATTCTTCCATACATTATACTTTATTAGAGATGTTTATGATAGAAAACCACCGTTGATGTGATTTGGTTTTCATGTACCGAATTGTGTGAATCGCAATCCAATTCCGGTTTGATATGGAGTGTCTATTTGATAGTTAACAAAATATTGGGAGAATATTTTATCAATCGAAAATTAAAGGGGTGTGATGGGAAATTGTTTTATTTACAACGGGACACCTATATTTTCCCATTTGTTTCAAAAAGAGAAGTGTACGAGACCAAACTTGAAGAAAAATGGCGACGGCATCGGAAAATGCAAGAGGAATCGGCGGAGGTGATCGAACGGCGAAAGCAATCGTCGCCGATCAGATCTCACAAGCCGTTAATTCTACTGCTAAACTTCTTCATCTGATGCGTCAATCGTCGTCTTCTCAGGTTACACTCTTCGAAACCCTTTTTAATGCGTGATTGCATAGTAAAACGGTGAAGATCGTGCGATTCGTGAGTCGAATTTTTTTTGGATGAATTAAGGTTTAGGTTGGATAATTATAATTGTGGATAAAGTTTTAGTGATTGGTCTTTAGGAGAGATTATAATTATAATTGTAATTCTTGTTCACAACAATTTTGGTGATCAAATGCTGAAATTCGGGAACCTTTGATCCAATCTGCATTCTTCATGTGAAATTTTATGTATTAGCTGTTGAATTCACTTTCACTAGTGAAGTTGGAATGCGATTTCAATAACCAGCTTTGGAATTTGATCAACTTTTTTTGGTCTATGGATTGGGTTATATACTTTGAATCTAGTCTATACCATTTGCCTGAGTTTACTACAGTGTTAATATGATCAGATATAGCTATAGAATTCAGTATTTGTGTAAGATTATATGAAAAAAACAAAAAAAAACACAGACAGTGTTAACAATTCTGTAACAGTTTCGTTGTTGTTCGAAGCATAAGATGCCTTCTACTTCATTAGAGGCTACTTATATCATCCTGTTCATACTAATATGCATCTAAGAAGTTGTATTAGGATAAAATTTGTATTTCCCTGCTTTCCTCTAAAAGAAGAGATGTTTTGTCTCCAATGCAGGCTCAATTGGCAAAGCTCCCAAAGAATCTTTTGGCGAAAGCTTCCTTGACTAAGACAACTGGACAAGTATGTAAATTTCTGGTGTAGCATTTATAACATAAACAATGAATGGTTTCTTATGTGTTTTTCAATTTTTTTTTAAGGCGTTGGCCCAGCTTCCTCAAGTGATTTCATCTCTGGATGCCCATATAGAAAGCGGATTACACAGGTTTGGATCTCCTTTGACTTGCAAGAATTACTCGATCGTATTTTTAGCAGCATTCAGTTTTAGTCAACAGGACATGTATCTTGTTCCATTTATGGATGCATTTGGAGTTGAATTCTGAGAGATAGTTTCAAAACCAATGACTGAGAAATGTGATTAGAGAATTCTAACCCAATTTTCATTTCTCGATACAGCGGCGTTCATCTAAACACAGTAACACAATTACTTGAAAACATGGAAAGCACGCAGCTTCGTGCTCTTCGACAATCTAATATATCCCCTGTGGTATAAACGCAATCTCTTAGTTGCAATAATGGCTTTTTACTTCATTTGTTACTTTGGTCTAGCAAGCGGTTGAGATTATCATATCCGTTCTGTGTTTTTCTTCGGTTTCCTCGATAGGACAATCAATCTCCAGAGCCCAGTTGAACATTTCAGACAAGTTACAAGTTGTGATCACTACAAGATAAGTACATATGTTCAAATCCTTAAACTTCTTCATAAGTTCCAGTCTCTCTAATCAATATTCTCATCTTTCTGGTCCCAAAATTTACATTTACGACTTTAAATATTCTCAATTTGGCGTTCTTGACGTGTCAAAACTCAAAACAAGTTTTTAGGCAATCTCTATGTTGTTTCGTAGTGTTTTAGAAGTCTTTTGTAAGTTGAAACCTTTTTGATTTAGAAGAAGAATCACACTTCACTTTTGATTAATTGACTTGTTCTTTTAAAAATGTGCACTTTTCTATGTTTTCAATGGCCAGTATCTGATGGTGTGACCCAATCTACTTGTATAGCGGCCAAAAGGAACCCAAAAAAAACGAATGGTCTCCTTTTTTTCTTTATAAAGGTTTTTATATTAATGAATTTTCTGTCCAAAATTAAAGATGGCTTTAGGTGAATCCTAAAGTAGCATGAAAATTGCTTAGAAACAAGTGGCACTAAGAATCAGAAAAGTATGAGATTATTTAGAATTTGTATTTGGATTTTTCTCACTAGTCAGCAAGTCCGGTATAGGCTATGCACACCCAACTATAGTGTCTATCTGAATTGCGATATAAGCATTTAATTTGTGTTTGCATCTATATCCAAGAAAGAATGAGAATTTCTTCGATAGGTACCACTTTTGCTGTCGCCGTTTATAGAGTTAAAATAGTGACATTTTTTATATAACTATCTCCTTGTAGTTACCCCCAAAAAACTCTCTCTTTGTAGTAGATGTAAGACATTAATGTTTTATAGCATGCTTAGAAAGATTAATAAACGAAATTTCTGAGTTGGTAGATAAAATAGAATCTTTTGATCGTATCAAATTTGTAGTAAATATATTAAATCTAATTTCTACACTATTTTGTAGTAGATATATATGAAGATGCCATATTTATATCTACAAGAAAGTAAATAAAAAAAATCAAAATTTGTTTTCAAATTATAGAAGTTTTTCAAATATACAACTTGTAATTATTCGATTGGATTAAATTTAGTCAAATATATTTTCAAAAATATATACGGTAAAGAAATAAGACTCAATTGGACATTTAAGAAAAAATAAAAAACAATTTGTCTTTTGACTCCTTTAACGTTAAGTCCCCACCTGACACGTAAGCTTGAAAGCCACCCGCAGAGACCAGTAGGCCTCCACCAAAACGACACCGTTAGTAACATTGAACTTTCCAACAAATATTTATTATTTATTTTGTTTTTGTAATGTCGAGAAAGTGAGGAAAAACTTTCGCCGCACCGCCTGAGATTTGATAAAAAGAGAGACGAGTCCACATTCGAATTTTGGATTCCCGGAGAAGAACAAATTCGCCATTATTATAAGCTGCTTCTCCTTCTTCTTCGTTTTACACTCCCAATCCTGAATACACCTGATTTCAGTTCTCGTGTGTCTCGGAATTCTCTACGGCGAGAATCTGATAGTACGTCACTCAGAGATTCCCCGACGTATATTTTACATATGGCGTCACTGGCTCTGACTTCTCCTCCCGGCGTTAAGATTCCGTCGTACCTAGCCTCGTCGTCTTCGTCTCTCTTCCCTCGCTCCTCGATTTCATTCACGACCACTGAGTCTCGCTCCCGAATCTGCGTTTCCGGTGGCGCGGTGAGCAATTTCTCTCCGTCAATATATGATTCCAATACTTACATTATGTTTCTTGTATTTGTCTTGAAAATTCAAAAGTGTCTGGTTGAATCTATGCTGTGATCTGTGAGACTTTCTGGATTCAGTGGTTGCAATTAGCAGTGCGTTTATGAGCTGACTAATCATCTCTTTCGTGAGAATTTGTGTGTTGAGGGCTTTATGAGCATTGCCAAATCCAATCTTGTGAATTTGATTTCACAATTCCTTGCCATTTGCTTTTATTTGGTGTGTGCTAGATATGCAATTTGCCCAGGGCACTGAATGTTGGAAACGGGAACGCTCGTGTTCCGATTATCAATGAGACGACACTTCCTAAGTTCTTTGATTCTTCCCGGTTAGAGAAATCCGTCAATAGAACCAACACGAAGCTGAAGTTGTTCTCTGGTACTGCAAATCCAGCACTTTCTCAGGTAGGCTTTCTCGAGACAGTCTTTTTAACCAAGTTCTCTTCTGGTGAAAGAGTTCTTGATTCAAGAGTAAAAAATTTCATTTTGAAGGAAATTGCTTGGTATATGGGGTTGGAGCTTGGGAAGGTTAGCATAAAGAGGTTTGCTGATGGAGAGATCTATGTTCAGCTGAAAGAGAGTGTTAGAGGTTGCGACGTCTTTTTGGTGCAGCCTACCTGCACTCCAACGAATGAGAATCTCATGGAGCTTTTGATCATGGTTGATGCTTGCAGAAGAGCATCAGCTAAGAAAGTAACAGCTGTGATTCCCTATTTTGGATACGCAAGAGCTGATAGAAAGGTAAGGCAGCTCTCTCCTTGTGAATCGTTCTCTTAATACTCTTTATCAGGTTTCAAGCGAATTTTAAAAGCTTATGTGTCTATATTGTTCTAGACACAAGGGCGTGAATCCATTGCTGCCAAACTTGTTGCAAACCTTATAACCGAAGCCGGTGCGGATCGTGTTCTTGCATGTGATCTTCATTCAGGACAGTCCATGGGCTATTTTGACATACCCGTGGATCATGTCTATTGCCAGGTACCTCAATTTTCAACGTTTTTGAGAGGTTTCTATCTTCTTTTTTTTTAAAATCTTTAACCAAATAATGCGGTTAAATTGCAGCCTGTGATACTTGATTATCTTGCTAGCAAGTCAATTTCATCAGAGGATTTGGTAGTGGTTTCTCCTGATGTGGGAGGAGTAGCCAGGGCACGTGCATTTGCTAAGAAATTATCTGATGCGCCACTCGCCATTGTCGATAAAAGGCGTCATGGCCACAATGTTGCTGAGGTAAACTTAGCATTTTCTTTCTTTTCACAATACTCAGTTTCTTGCCTTCACGCAAGTACGCATGAGTTAATAATACTCTTCTTCCCCACAGGTCATGAACCTAATCGGTGATGTTAAAGGGAAAGTGGCAGTAATGGTCGATGACATGATTGATACCGCGGGTTAGTAAAAATTCCATTTTCTTTGATCATGTTTGTTACTGACAACAAAAGCAATCCTAACATGTTCTTTCCTACAACAATCTCTAAAAAACCGTTCTCATTTGCAAGCAAAAAAACTCTAATCCATAATCGAGATAGGATTTGCAGAGCAAAACAAAGTTACTAAGAACCAATTTTTTTTTAATGGTAGGAACTATTGTGAAAGGAGCAGCTCTTCTACATGAGGAGGGTGCTCGTGAGGTTTATGCTTGCTGCACACACGCGGTTTTCAGGTAAAACCCATTAAGCTCGATTTCGTCACATTTTCTTGCGTTTTTATGTTATATATGTGAGAATTAAAAACATTATCTGATGAGAGAGAGACTCGAATAAATCAAATGTGACACAGTCCGCCAGCGATAGAGCGGTTATCGAGCGGTTTGCTGCAAGAAGTGATAGTGACGAATACTTTACCGGTGGCGGAGAAGAATTACTTCCCGCAGCTAACTATTTTATCGGTGGCTAACCTTCTGGGTGAGACCATTTGGCGTGTCCATGATGATAGCTCCGTTAGTAGCATTTTCCTTTGATGTTGGTTTTTTGTTAATCGGTTTAAGGCTCGGTTTAGGATCGGTTTACGTTCTCTCTCTCGTTATTCACAGTTTCTATCCTAACCATGTTTTGGCTTCTCTTTTTCACCCAAACTTTGTTACTTATCTGAGTTCGACCTTTTCTTCATTTTTAGTTAGAGAGTTATCACTTATCAGTAATAAAATAAAAATTAATATTTGATTTGTTTAAAATAGTTGTACTTATTGAAAACATTATCATTTCTCATGATTTGTTAATAATATATAAATTCTCAAGATTTGATAACAATTTCCACACTTGAGACACAATGTATATTTGAAATCTTTTTTGGAATTATGGGTAGTAATTCATAAATAGTTGACAAAAAAGAAAATAAAAATATACTTTATATGAAAAAGGGAAAATAAATATTTTAAATAGCAAATGAACAATATTTTTTTCTTAAAAAAACCTAGGAGGTCGCATAAATTAGGGTTTCCTTTAAGCTCGTTTTTTATTTCCCGCATATATATATAGTCTTCACACCGAAACCTAAAACAGATAAGTGTTTTCTCGCCTCTCTTGTCTAATCGTTGTTTTATGGTTCTATATACAAAATTATTTTTGGGTTTTAGTTTGTTCAATTCGTTTTCTTCGGAATCTGTGTAGTAGTTGCTGTGATGAAAAAAACCGTGTCTAGAGATGAATTTAATTTCATCGCTGACGGTAAACACATCCCTCTAAGAAGTTCTGAGCTTCTACATCCTTTTTTTTGTTCTTCGTACACAATCAGAGTTTTTGAAATCTGGAATTTGGGTTTTGTTTTTGGGTCGAGGTGACGATAAAAATTTCACAGTCTGTCAATCCACTGACAACATTGAGTGATGTTATTGTGATATCTCGACAGGTTCTGATCGATCCAAAATCTTTTCCAATGATTTTTTTGATTAATTTATTATTATTTTATTTATGAAATACAAATCCGCTTCTCTTGTTTTCCCATTGGATCTGGGCAGATGATGAATCTCATAAAACAAATGGGTAATTTGCGACTGAAATTACATTGATGTGTTTTTCACCTTGGAGAACTGATGATCCAGATTCTATATCTTTTTTTTCTGTGTCTTCTTGTTTATTCGAGATTTTGTGTCAAAAAAAACCGGTTAACTATACGAGACTGAAATTATATTCACAAAAAATATTTTGCCTTTGAATCAAATGTTGTGTCCCAAGTCCCAACACAGACAAAAACTCTCTGTATATATGATTCCGAAATAAAAAGCAATAGAATCAACAATTTAGCCAAAATCTGACTCTATCTTTAATATCGTCCATACTGGTTTACTCGAATTAAAACCGCATCAATAACCAATTAATCACAAAACCCCTAAACCCTTTATGCCAAAGATGTTGTCAACATGTTTAAACAATAAATCCCGATTTTTTTTTTGAATGCCAACACGCCAAATGTGTGAGTATTCTTCACTTTGATGGAGTTAATGTAAGTTCAGAAGATAACATCCGTGCTTTGTTTTCGATCCATCGAAATGCTGGTAACACAATGGAAGCAAAATTGATTCCACTCTGTACTTGCTGGATTATTTGGAAGTCTAGTAACGAATTTATGTTCAAGAAAACGTAATACTCTCACAGAGCTGCATCTAATGGAGTTTCTTCAAGGGATGGTACGAGTTGAAGGATTGATTCTAATATCACAGATTTAGGTTGGATTGTAAGAGATTTTTCGAGGAAGCATATTTGTTCAGGCAGAAGCATTGAGTTTCTTGTTTGCACTATAAATGATATGGATCAAAGGATGGAGAAATGTGTGGTTTAAATGCGACAATAAAACCGTATCATTAACCAGTTAATCAATAAAGAACTCTGACAATGGTTGGCTATGATAGAGTCAATACAAGACTCGATCGATAGTAATAGTACACAGTGTTGTTAATTGAAATTAACTGTACTTGTTTCAATGCTTTGAAAACCACTTTGGCTTATCTCTGTGGCAATCGTGGTCTGAAAACTCTGATTAGTTCCAAGACACAAATACATCAAGTAATAAACTAAAATATTATAGGAGACGAAGAGAAACTAACATCTCTCTCATATGATTCCGTCATATTTGATGATTTTAACTGATTAAACTGAATAATAAACTTTGGATTTAGAGGAATTAGAATAGAAGAAAAAATGACGCGCCTTGTTTTTCACTGGTTTGGTAAAAAATGGAGTGACTAAATTTACCTTTCCGTTGACGATGAGCATATTTTTTTTTCTTGAGCTTTATGATAACCAGAAAGAACAAAACCGTTATAAACTTGTAAATCTGAAGTCACACACACATCCAAAATAGCTAGGCTCTGTCATAAATATTATGTAAACAACTCAGAATAAAAAATAAACTTGGAGCATTTTACACTTGTAAATAAAATAATCTATCATCTTGACGATCTTCGAGCTTTAGATGATTTTGATGATCTCTAAGGTTTATGCTTCTCTTCGGGAGGGCTTGTAGACGTTGCATCATATGTCGTCTTCACAACATCAAACTTGAGATCCTCTACATGGTCTACAAAGGCGTAAACTTCATTGTTCTTAATGTCTAACATATCTTCAAAGCCTTCAAGTTCAACACTTTGGAAAGTGTTCTTTTTTGGATTGATGAATAAAACACAAAACGGTACACGTATACGTCTCGTCGACACCACAATTTCACCTGTAGCTGTCACTCCAGCGACGTAAACATCATTGCGGTCAACGAATCTATTATCATGCCAAGTGTAAAAATAGTTGTGCCATTTTTGTGTCTCTGCATCCTCTAGAATCCATAGATGCAGCTCAATGGTAGTACTTATACCACCGTAAGCATAATAATTCCAATGAACCCCACCTAATTTACCTCTATAGTTTATCAATTTAGGCTCATGGCCTTTTGACTTAATGAGTTTGTATGTTTCAGACCTAACATCAAAGCAAACTATCGTCGAAGAGTCTTGAGCTAAGTAATACAAAACTCCGTTGATGCATATCGGTTCGGACTTAGGATCATGGGTTAAGGAACAATATCGGGTCTTCCTCCACTCCATATTTTCAGCTTTTAATGTCAGAATTTTATGATTGGACAGTACCTTGAATTGCTTGCCAATAGGATCAAACCCTAGAAAGCTTGTCGACTTATCGTCACTTGTCAGTCTAGGTAAGCTCACACGCTGTGCTGTGCTAGGGCATATCACATTCACTATACTCTTTTCATTGTCAGAGATCCACATATGATGTGTGAAACAGAACAAACCAGAGGCATAGCCACGAAACTCCAGCCGCGACAATTCTTTAGAAGACCTCAAACGAAAACCAGCGGAAACTACAAGAGATGACTTCTCACATGGATTATGAGGTTGAGGCGACGAGAAGAAGAGCCACTCACCGTTATGAGTTTCTTTGATGAGGAATAAGAGACGTGGACGTTTGGAGGATCTGGTCAGGAACAAGTCTTTGAAATATGGACTATGAAACATGGAACTCCATAGCTTCGATACGCAACAAAACCTCGTGATTGACTTTGCAGGCAATCTCGAGGATATCTCCATAATGAGATCGACCGGGATGGAATTAGAATACTTTCCTCTGCTCATGATTGTTTAAGTTGTGCTAATCGGACACAGAGAGATAGAGATATACGAAATCATCCCGAAGACTCTAATATAAATATAGGGTTTTTCCTTTTTAGGTTTTTAATTTTAAACCGAAGTGCTTAAGTTTTTTTTTGTTTCTCTAATATTTTTTAAGACCTAACCTATACAATAATGGAACGCACGTGAACTTGCGTTTACCTCCTCACGAGTCACGAAGCTCAGGAATCTGTTAGTGGATGTATGTTCTCGACTTCTCGTCCCTGTTAATCTCTCCAGAATTCTGTCTTGTCCAATCTAATTAGTATATATATGAATCTTGCTTTATCTGATGTTTTGATTGAGGATGTTCTAGAAATTAGAAACCCAAAAATGCGTTTTTCTTCCCCCAGAATTGAATTGATTCACTTCTGACGATTAAATAACCAAGCCAAACATGCCTTAATCTTCTTAACCGTTTTGTTGTCCAAGACATAATCCCCAAATTGCATTAGTCACTTGTACACATTGTTTTTTTTTTTTGTTGTCAATTAATTGATAACACCTTTGTTGATAACAAAGACAAGAGTTCGTGGCAGTGTAAATGCCCAAAAACTTTTGACATGGCAACCTTTAAATGGAAAAATCAGGGCCTTGTCCGTTGTATGACTACCATCTTCTCCTTACCTAGAATTCGAAAACCATAAGTTATATTCAGATATTGTGTACCTCAACCATGGGATTCATTCCCCCAAGCAACAACCACTCTTTTCAGTCTGCACAACAATAACCAATTAAAGAAGATATTGAGAATGCCAAGAAGATAGTGACTGCATAAGCAAGAACAGATTTGGTGAAAAAAAATCAGTACCTGATGTGCAATCCAATAATGTCTCTATCTCTCATCTCTGCATAAGCTCTTCTGGCTCCGTCTCATCCTTGCTTCTTCGTCTCCAATAGTGATCTACAACTAGCAATAAGTGTAAAACCACAGATCAAGAGAAAGTTAAGAAGCAGAGTCTGCAACAAAACCCATCTCCTTCATCTCCAGCTCACCACTCTCAAAGACAGAATTGGGTTTGATTAAACAGAGTCCAGAACTTGGTTTTATATCTCGTGGAACTGCTCATCATCAGAGCTGTGTCATAAAATCAATATACATGAACCTAAAGAAACAAAATAACTGGAGTACATTGCAAGAAACCCTTTTGGTGCTGAAAGTCTTTCCTCGTTACTGCTATACAGAGCAGACCAAGAATTTCCTTTCCAGCCAAGAAACCTCTTACCAAAGCCATTTTTTGTCTATTAAACGAAGTCTCTTCTGTTAGTACACCGTCGCTAATCATACCTTTTTCCTTTTATTATCTTTAGCAGTCCATATTAAATAAAAAATTGGATGCAGAAAGAAAGAAAAAAGCGTCTCATTTCTCATAGCAGAGAATATTAACATTACGGGGAAACAAATAGTTTTATGATAACCAGAAAGAAGAAATAACAAAATGCTAAGCCAAAGGAATGATAAAGCTTACACAAAATGTAAATAAGAAGTCACGCTTACATCAAATAAAATACCCAACATAAGAAGAAAAAAAATTAAATCTTTAGTTTCTCTTTGATATCTAGAGAGCATACAACTTGTATTAAATATGGCTTTTAACCGACTTGGGGAGCAAGGGATCGCAATCAGATTTCTGACACCTGCGAATTTATCAAATTTGTTAATGCTCTCAAACGTTCCTACTCTTGGACTTACGCTTCTGTTCTGGTGGGTGGGTTTGTGTTCATAATATTAAAGTTAAGAGTCTCCACATGGTCTACAAATGTGCAAATGCTATGTCTATTCATGTCAAACACTTCATGGTTACCTTGGATTTCAACACTGCAGAGAGTACTGTTGCTTCTGGGATTGAAGTAAAACACATCTAACGACGGTTTATATGTATATTTCTCCCACAAAACAATATCCCCTGAAGCTGTCATTCCAGCAACACCAAATCGATTGCACTTACACGGCAAAGTATAGACATATTTGGACCATTCTTGTTTTTCAACATCCTCTAGAACCCACATAAGAAACTCAAAGGTATCACTTTCACCAGAGTGAGTATAATGCCAACTAATCATACCTAATTTACCCTTATAGTTTATCAATTTCTTCACACCCCAATCATAACTAGATGCTGCGTCAATGAACTTGAATTTTTCAGACTTAACATCAAAGCAAACTATCACATGATGCGTTTCCAACGTTTCCCACATCAAAGCAAAGTAATACAAAACACCATCGATGCATATCTGTTGAGACGAGTCATCAGCAGGATGATGGATTAAGGGAGGTTTGATCTTCCTCCAGCCCATTTTTCCAGTTCCTAATGTCAAAATTCTTTGACCATAATTTAAATTTGGATTAGCCATGCACAATACCTTGAATTGCTTGTCAATTGGATCAAACCCTAAAAAGCTTCTTGAGAAGTCCTTCGTTCTCAGTTTAGGTAAGCTCATACACTGTCCTGTGCTAGGGTTACAGATCACATGAACTGTTTCATAGATCCACGTATGACGGCAGAAACAGATCAAACCAGAGGCATAGCCACAAAAGTGCAACCACGAGTTTTCATGACGCTTTAAATGAGAATCAGCCGCAAATACAAGAGACTCCTCCTTCTGATCATATGGATTATGAGGTTGAGGTGACGAGAAACAGAACCAATCACCAGTTACAACTCCTTGGATGGCGAATAAGAGACGTGGACGAGCTGAGGACCCGGTAAGAAACAACTTGTTGAAGTCTGGACGGTGAAGTATGGACCCCCATAGTTTCGATACACAATGAAACCTCCCGATAGACTTTGCAGGCAATCTTGAAAGTATCTCGGGAATGAGATCCACCGGGAAAAAATCTGAACCTTCTTCTCTATTCATGATCGTTGTATTTGCTGATAATAGGACGGAGAGAGAGACTAGAAACTTCGACTTTGATCCATTGACCTAATGGTCTTGTATTTATACATGTATATTATATATTAAAAGTTCCAAGAAAAAAAATTCTAAAGGAAATTTTTAGATTTATAAATATATCAATTCAGGGTCAGCTCTAACTTAAGGCCAAGAAGTATTGTGTTTTAAATTTAAACCATCCAAATATGTATTGGTTGTGCAACGACTTGATATCTCCTATTCATGGGCTTAATTCTCCTCCTAGTGTTATAATTCTTGAATAAACACGTTGAGGAAGCAGCGACTCTTGAACATAACACTAGAGGAAAAAACAGAAATAGGTTGATTCGAATGAGAAGAGAATCGGTGAATGCAGGAACGGTAAATAAACAGGAAACAAAGATATCAAAGGAGATGAAAAAAGCTCAAAGAGAGAAAAGATGCAATACTAGGAGGAGAAAATTAGTTTACATTTGAATATTAAACTTAGCTTCCGTAAATATTACATATGACAACCAGATAAATGAGCGTTCATAAACTATAGCCATAAACTTACATATTGACACATATAAAAAAAATTATTGTTTCTCTTGGTTCAATTTTTCAGAAGACAAGAGTATCTTTGCAAACCAAGATTAAATCAGGTGAAAGAAATTAATATATTCTGGTATTTTTCATAATGAAGTTTCTTTTTGTTTTATCATATATAATCTTGTCATAAACTTTTTCTTTCTTTCTTTCTTTAAGTGTTTACCTTCATAGTGGACGCAAACAAAACGGACAAGCTTTTAAATTTGATCATGCTTTATGTTCTATAAAAAAACTCATTCATTAAGCCGATAAAACTAAGAGAACTTCACTGCTACTTATTTTCTGGAAAAAAAGATAATTTAAAAGCAAGTATTTCAGCAACGATAAGAATACTATTACCTACTCATGATACTTAAGAGTGTGAGTGTTTTTCGAGATTTAAAGGCCAAACACATTCCAAGCACGTATTATTCTCCACGATGAAGATAGTGAGAAGTTCGTAAGCTGGAATTCTCTCTTGTATTCACAAGACCAAAAAGGTCGAACTTATATACACGTACAAAGTGATAAGTGCAAATCTAAGAGAATATACAATATACAAACTAAATGGAAATACTTCTATATTGTTAAGATATTGTCTTGATTGCCAAGTATTCCCTAATAGATAGAGCTCTGGGGCAGACAACCATCTCGGATGACTTAACCCCGAAAGAATAAGCTTCAACTCTGTCTCGTGACCGAAACTGAACTATGAGGGAGTTTGAGAAATTAAGACGCTATTGATTGCTGCAACAAGTATGTAGTATCTCCTCTCTTCACCAATATCAGACATTTCCGCCACTAGATTTATGTGATGTTTAGGCTTACGAGCGTATTACACATTCACTATTCAAGATTCTTAAGGAAGACTCTACAAGAAACAACTCGTTGAAGTCTGGACGGTGAAGTATGGACCCCCATTGCTTCGACACGCAACGAAAACTGGAGATTGACTTTGCAGGCAATCTCGAGGATATCTCCAGAACGATATCAATTGGAATATAATTCATTAGGGAGAGAGAGAAATATGAATACAAATTTTTACAGTACCATCACTAACTCAAAGATCGGTCAATTAGTTGACTAACTAATATATGTATAATAGAGTTTGGGGGGCCTAGGGTTTTATTTAGAACCGCACCAAATGGATGTCTGGTTACTTTGGTTCGATTTCAGTTTAAGGATATAAACCGATCAAAAATGCCTCATAAATCTTTGGTTTGTCGCCATGATTAATCAAGTATCTTTAGAATTTTCAAATTTAGACATTAATGCCTCAACTACAGCATAGTCATGTCATTAGGAGTTGGTTTAACTGATCAAACCATGTAACAAAGCATTGTACGTGAGAAGATAGAGTGAGATTAAACCTTTTGTATGTCCTTTTCTCTCTAATTAATCTCCTTTATAAATGTTTCTGCGGCTTCTCCATGAATCAACCGTGTTATATGTGTAAAACCACAGATCAAAAGAAAGTAGGAAACAGAGTCCAGAACGTGTTCATCATCAGAGTATGTGATAAATCAAGTTTCTGAAGTACATGAAGCTAAAGAAACAAATAGAAAAACAAAAATGGTTGGAGTACACTGCAAGAAACCTTTTTAGTGCTGAAGCGTCTTTCCTCGTTACTGCTACAGAGCAAACCAAGAATCTCCTTTGCAGCCAAGAAACCTCTTACACAAGCCATTTTTATCTATTGATACTAAGGTGTTGATTGGTTTACCCGTTATCACCCGCAAACGCAGCGTTTGCGGTTGGTAGCGGTTAGTGGCATTTTATTACAATCATAGAAATCGCTATAAACCGTTCCGTATCGTTTTATACCGCTGAAATCCAAAAGTTGCTTCTCGCCAGCGTTTACGGTTGCGGGCGGTAGCGGTTAGATAAAAAAAATTAAAAAAAATTAAAATCACGCTAAAAAAAATAGTAGATCACGTTAAAAACAATTATAAAACCAATCTTCTCCTATATATAAAAACCCTAATCTCTCACTTTTTCTATCAAATTCTAGTCTTTAATCATGACTTTTATATCAGTTGAAGTAAATTAAGATACAAGCATAAGTACCATAATACTTTGGTTTAATTTATTTATATTAATTGTTCTGTTTCCACTTTTAAAGTAAGAAATTATAAATATGTATTTTATTAATTACAAAATTAGTTTGTTATAATTCTTTTTTTTTGTTCTTCAGAAAGTTACATGATCAAATGAGATGACATGTGCATTACTTCAACGGATCATTGTGAAAAAACAAACTTAAGATAAATATCCTAGATTTTTAAGAGCACTCCAGAAGGAACGTATTTTAAAAAATACTAATGAGCAATTTGGAGTTGATTTAAGTTTGAGTCGTGCAAAAAATTGATTAGATCAATTGAAGAAATTTTATATCATGCATAAGACAAATCCAGAAGATCCACGTATTGGAGCTAATTTTTTCTAGTTTATTATATTACTAGATACAATTTTGAGTTATGTTCCGAAGAATTAAAATAAAACATATTATTTATAAAATTTATTAGTTTTTAAAATAATTATTTAGTGTTTATTTATAATTCTTATTAATTATTTTAAACTAGTGATTTTGATATTAATCATAATAGTATAGTTTTCTGTTTTTTTATAATTATATATGATGTTTATTTTGGTAATTTTATGTTTAACCGTTAAACAACCGCTGGTTTGCCAGTAAAAAATGTTCCGCAAACAGATCCGCCTTAAAAAGTTTAACCAGTTGTGCAAACCGCTGAATAACGCTCAAAACCGCAATCGTCCGCTTCCGCAAACTCCCGCAATCGCAACCGCAACCGCTGCGTTTAATCCAGTCAAGTCTAAGTCTCGACTTCTAATCTGAGTTTCTTTTACACTGTCGCTAATCAAAGTTTTTCCTTATATTATCATTAGCAGTCCATATAAAATATAAAAAAACTAGGTAATAACCCGCGCCTTGCGCGGAGTGAGATATCTATATTTTTTTAAAAAATATCCAAGTTTAAAATAAAACTATAGAGAATAAAAACTTAAAATTCAGAAACAAATATATTACATTGGTGTGAACTATATTGATATATAGAAATAAAACTATTTTCATAACAATATAGAGATAAAATTGTAATATACAATGTTATATAGTGCATTTTGCTATTAGAATAATTAAATGAACTTTAACAGTGATGAAAAGAAAACTATGTATGAATAAGATTTATGAAAAAATTTAGAGCTTAAGATTCTATGGTTATTGGTTTGTGGATTTTTACATTTTTTAATAGATTTCACTATTATTCGTAAACAGGTTATAACATTTTAAAAATACATGGTTATTGGTTTGATGATTTTTATAATCTAATCAAAATTCATTGTTATTCAAAAAGTTTGTATTTTAATGATTCTATAATTCTATTAAAATATAGTGTTATTGGGATAAAGATTCTGTACAATTTAACTCATAAATCATGATTTTCAAAATACTGCATAAATCCATTGGATTCTCAAAATTTGTTATAGTAAAAATATTTTGTAAATTGTTTGAATCCGCAAAACTCTCTGCAAAATTTAAAAATCAAATAAAACTCTTGAAGATTTGACTAATCTCATTACTTTTAAAATTAACCAAAATCTTTATAAATCCAACTCTCAATAACCCCTTTTAGCATAAATAACAGGAATGGTAAAACTAAATAAAACAAATAACTAACTTTTGAGTCGATTACAACACTCTCGATTGTTAGACTAACAACAACTTGATATTTTTTTGCAAAGTCTTATGATATTCACCTTTATTTTTCAAATATTTTTTAAAAGTTTTAAATCAAAGATCGAGTTGGAAACAAAATAATTATAATTAGGTCAAAATGCTATTTTTTATATAAAAAAATGATGAGTAACATGTTATAGAAAATATTTTTTTTAATATAGAGGCTGATCGTAGGGATTTTAAATTATGTTATATAGATTTTCAAAAACTTGATTAGTAGATAAAAAAATTTAGTGAATTATTTTGTTTTGTTTTTTTCAAAATTCAAATTATCGCATATACATAAAATATAAATTTGGTATATGTTTGATATGATAATTAAATCAGAAATGAAAAGTAAACAAAGAGAATAAAATAATTTAATGATTTAAAATAATTCATATTATATAATTGAATACAAAAATTAATTAATATGATATAATTAAATCTCAAATCTTTTTTATTCTATTTAATTGGATAATAAATATGTTTTGAAGTTACTAATTTTTGTGTGTCTAATTAAGGAAAGAACAATCATTTTTTGAACAATTATTTTTAATGATTAGAAAACAAATAACTAACTTTTGAGTCGATTACAACACTCTCGATTGTTAGACTAACAACAACTTGATATTTTTTTGCAAAGTCTTATGATATTTACCTTTAAATTTCAAATATTTTTTAAAAGTTTTAAATCAAAGATCGAGTTGGAAACAAAATAATTATAATTAGGTCAAAATGCTATTTTTTATATAAAAAAATGATGAGTAACATGTTATAGAAAATATTTTTTTTCATATAGAGGCTGATTGTAGGGATTTTAAATTATGTTATATAGATTTTCAAAAACTTGATTAGTAGATAAAAAATTTAGTGAATTATTTTGTTTTGTTTTTTTCAAAATTCAAATTATCGCATATACATAAAATATAAATTTGGTATATGTTTGATATGATAATTAAATCAGAAATGAAAAAGTAAACAAAGAGAATAAAATACTTTAATGATTTAAAATAATTCATATTATATAATTGAATATAAAAATTAATTATTATGATATAATTAAATCTTAAATCTTGTTTATTCTATTTAATTGGATAATAAATATGTTTTGAAGTTACTAATTTTTGTGTGTCTAATTAAGGAAAGAACAATCATTTTTTGAACAATTATTTTTAATAATTAGTTTAATAAGATATATTTGATTCTCTAACCAAATTAATATGAGTGGCATTGATTGTAATTGTTCTAATAACATAAACTTTTTTTCAAAAAACCTTTGAGAAGCTCTCTAGAGATGACACCTCAGCATGACACAATTGTAAATCACACATGACACAAATGTCCTTTTTAATGTGTCCTTGTAAAATAATAATAGAAGATGGATGCAGGAAGAATTGATGAAGCGTCTCATGCATATATCATAGCAGAGAATATTAACATTATAAATAAAAGAGTTTAATGATAACCACAAAGAAAGAACAAAAAAAAAAAACACTTGTAAATAAGAACGAGTCACACCTACAGCCAAAAAAGCTGACATGAACAAAAAACTTAATATGATAACTTTGATATATACAGAGAGAGAGAGATACTTGTATTGAACAAAGTTTTTAGCCAATTTGTTGGAGCAAGGGGATCGCACTCAGGTTTTTGCACCGCTAAATTAATCATCATCAACAAGATGCAGAGCATCAAACTGGTTAATGCTCTCAAAACGTATACCACGATCTTGTTCCATGTGAGCTCTAGATGATGTTGTCTCCAAAGCCTCTACATGGTCTACAAAGACGTAAACTTCATTGTTCCCAGCGTTAAACTCATCTCCAAAACCTTTGATTTCAACACCTTGGAGAGTGTTCCTTTTGGGATTGTAGTAGATAACATAAAATGGTTGAGATGTATCTTTCATCGACAACACAATTTCACCAGTAGCTGTCACTCCAGCGACGAAATATTCACTGGAGTCAACATAAAATTTATCATCATGCAAAGTGTAGTCATATGTAGAACATTCCAGTTTCTCAGCATCCTCTAGAATCCACACATGCAACTTAATGGTACCCCATCTACCACCAAAACGAATCCCACATAATTTACCCATATAGTTTATCAATTTAGCATAAGGACCCTCTGACTCAATGAATTTGTATGTCTCAGACCTAACATCAAAGCAAACTATCACTGAAGAAGAGTCTTCTTCAATATGAGCTAAGTAATACAAAACCCCATTGATGCATATCGCATCAGAGTAAGGATAATGACTGAAGGAACATTGGATCTTTCTCCAACTCTTATTCATAGTTCTTAGTGTCAGAATTCTATAATCAGCAGTGGATAGTACTTTGAATTCCTTGTCAATCGGATCAAACCCTAAAAAGCTTCTCGACTCTCTGTTAGTTCTCAGTTTAGGTAAGCTAGCACACTGTCCCGTGCTAGGGTTACATATCACATGCACTCTATCTTCCTTCTCTTCTGAGATCCACTTACGATTGCAACAACAGATCAAACCAGATGCATAGCCACAAAAGTGCAGCCATGACATGTCTTTAGAATGCTTCAAGTGAAAATCAGCGGCAACTACAAGAGACGCCTTATTCTCATACAGGTTATGAGGTTGAGGCGACGAGAAAAAGAACCAATCACTGTTTTGAACTTCTTGGATGGCGAATAAGAGACGTGGACGAGACGAAGACATGGTCAGGAACGACTCGGTGAAATCTGGACGGCAAAATATGGACTCCCATAGCTTCGACACGAAACGACACCTCGCGATTGACTTTGTTGGCAATCTCGAGCATATCTCGAGAACAATATCGATCGGAATGGAATCCATTAGAGAGAGATATGAATACAAATTTACAAAATCATCGCAGAGACTAACTAATATATATAGAGAGAGTTCGAATGCCCTAGCCCATAAGGCATTATATTTATTCCAGTCCTAACCAAATCAAGGTTTGGTTAACTTGGTTCGATTCCGGTTTAAAGGCATAAAATCTTGATACTTCTAATTTCCCCATCTTTAAAACTTTTTAAACAAGTTACCCTTTCCCGTGCACTCCAAGGATCACTGCGGCTCCGGCTTTGATGAACGGCTGCCTGATTTGTTGCCTTGGAGCAATAAACTCATCATCACTGTCATACTCTGCTGGTGAATTAGCTGCCACGTATTTTCCCTCCACAGTTTCTACTCTTCGATTTCTTAGTTGTAGTCTTTTAGTTCTACAATATTTGGGTATTTACACACTAGATGAAACCAACCTGAATTTACCTGATTCTTAGAAAACTGCAATGCAGCGAATTAAAATCTTTTGAGTAGATTATGTGGAGATATAAAAACCAATTGCTCCTTGTGATCCTATGGATCTTTCTCATTGCTTGAGTCACTGGATTTGCAAACACTTCACAGCCTTTTGTGTTTCTTAGCATTAGAGAATCTTTCAGGACATCTTATTATTGCCATGAAACTAGTTATCAAGTGAATTTTTAAAAATAAATGTAGTTTTGTAATTAAGTGGTATCTAGATTTATAAATGCAGGAAATTTATTTTTTTCCTGAGGAGCGTGTACAGTCTTCAGATGCCATTGTTGATATGAGTCTAGGAGACTGGTAAGGCTTTCATATATCAGAAACTCTAAGCTTGATTGAAAGATTTCTATGATGGTTCAGTTTCTGAATGGAACACACTTAAGAGTTGCAAAGACGCTCAGGTCAGAACGTCTTCCATCTACACATCACAACAATATGCCAGAAGAGTGTTCTCACAAAGTCCACACTTAATTCAAAAACTCTCCTTGATTTTCTTGGCTTTTTTAAATTTTTCTTCCTTGCACAATACGTTACTCATAATGTTGTTAAAATTCGACTAAATTTATCCTATTCCTTCTCTGTGAAATTCAACATTGATAACAAACCTAAATACTCTTTCTAGCAGAAAGTTTTATTAGTTTTATACCCATTTTTCATCGTAGATTTCCACATTTACTTATTCTGTAGGAAATATTGTATAATCTCATTCCGTAATTTGCCGTTTGGATTATCAAGAGAGGTTTCTACTTTTTATGTAATCGATTACTTGGAACCGACACAATAAATCCAAGAACTCTGATGCATCACAATCAAAACATCAACTGCTGCTGCAAAAAAAAAGTAAACATGTACTACAGAAACTATTTAAAAGGTTCCAATCACAGTATCATCAGAGAAAATAATATGCAGAACATTTCTGACCAGAAAGAGAGAAGCTTCCATGTGATGATCTCTGAGCAGAGCAAAACCTTATGTCGTAATGTATCTTCATATCCAAATTTTACACATTTGACTTTACATTTTGTAAGAAAGAACGTGTAAACAATTCACGGCTCAAAATTCAGATGACATCAGAACCAAGACGAAGACTTCCTGAGTTTTAGAAAACCCTTACAAACGACTACACACACACAACAAAAGGAGTTTTAGAAAACGTGACTAGGTGATCCACATCAAAATCCGGCTTGTATTGATCTCAGAGAATACAAACTGAGTCACAATAATAAACATATATATATATATATATATACTAATCAACTAATTAAAAATAAGTATTATGAAGAACAATTTCAGCCGACATAGATAAAAAAAACTCAAATAATTTATTCGATAACTTTGATGTTGTTTAGTATTCGCACAGGAGGTTGATTTGGTAAATATATCTAGGTGGAGCTCAGAGATTCTTGTTAGATAGAGGTGAGGTCGATATGATTTCTTCGAAGTCTTTTAGCGATGTCAGCTAAGCGAGGTAAGAGTTAGTGATCTCAAGTTTCGAGTATTTTAGTCTTTGTTTCAGATTACGGATCCCGTAATAAATGAAGTTACAGGGCTATTTATAGTGTTCAAATTAGGTTACATCTCGGTCAGAGTAGCTTGGGCGGCCGGGTAGATAGACCTGACTGACTGTTTATCGGAATGTCGTGCTGGCGAGCTGTTTCATCTACGTCGATGTGGCGAGCTGTTTCACCTACGTCGACGTGGCGAGCTGCTCCTTTGATACGGGGGGCTTATCTCTTACAACGACCTCGTTTTGGCTTTGCGAATGGGCTTGTCCATCTTCGATCTTGTTGGGCCTCTTCAATTCGCTAACGGGCCTGGTCGAAGTTACGGAAAAGGGGCTGTGCTCAGCCCACCTACAACAATTGTCCCCCCCAGTCTGTTGATGGAGATGTTGCATCGATATTCAACGCCTCGAGCTATGAGTTCTTCAGATTTTAGAGCCTCGACATCAATTGTAGGATCTTCGGGACGAGGTGATACTTGGGAGTTAAGATGTTGCGGATGACCGTTATCAAGACCAACAAAGAGTCGCGAGTGATGATCGGGTTTCTCGAGAAAACGCATGGAATCCGTCTTTAATTTAATCGTTGGGACGCGTCCGTGTCATCATTGCGTTTCTCGGTAACCGCTACTTTTCCCTTTATATATTATGCTCTTCTTCTCTTCTTCTCATTTTCTTCTTCGTTGGCAAAAGGTAACTTTGCTCTCCCTTCTCTCTAGCATTTTTCTTCTCTCTCTAGACCTCATCTTTCCTGCCGTTCCCGTCTTTCTTTTTGCGGTTTGATTTCTCCGATCATCACGCTTTCCGACTATATTTTGACATCATCGACGATGGTGTTGGGGAGACAACGGATTGAATTGAGCTTGGAATCTGGCTCTGAGTCGGACCAAGGGGTTTCTGTGAACAATAGCTCCTCTCCTGAGGCACACTCGAGGTCCGAAAGTCGATCGGATCGAGAAGAATCGCCGCTTACTGAATTGGCTGATCGAATTCGACCTGATGGTGCCTCCTCACAACGCGAGGCTTTGAGCCCTCAAGTAGTCGATGTTGATGAAGATTCTCGTGAAGGAGATGCTGTGGAGCAAGCTGAGGATGAGGTCGACGAGGAAGACAACGAGGAGGAAGGCAAACAAACCAAACCTCGAAGGAAGGGTTCCAAACGAAAGGGGAACATCAAAAATCGATTAGTGGATATTCGATCTCGGATGACACCGGAGCACCTTGAAGAGATGCGGGCGCTCTACGGTTTTCGCTGCGAGCTTAGATCGCCAGGTCCTGACGACCGTCCATGGCGAGCTCCGGTCGGCTGGGTCACGCTGTACGAGGCCTAGTTCAGCATGTGTCATCTCTGGGTGCCGTTGCCGAGGCTATTGACGGACTACGCAGACCGGCGAGGCATCGCTCTCTCGCAGATTCTTCCGGCGGGGATTCGATATATGGTCGCGGCTCTCCTTTTTGGGAGTGAAGTCGGAGTTAACATCGACTGGCGCTTCTTCGAAGAGATGACCACTGTCCAGAGGAATAACTCGATCCCGGGTACCTACACCATTAAAGCCGGGAAGAATTGCTCTCTTATTTACCCCGTGAATAGGACATCGATTTGGGAGGCATCTTTTTTTACGCCAAGGTCGACGAGTCGTTAGTCGTTGATACGGCTAGAAATTTAAGAAGCGAATGGAGCCAGAGAATTGGTAGATTGCTAGTTTGATCGACTGTCGATTTTTTTTCTCTATATCTTACTTACATCTCGATTTTTCTTTGCAGATCGAAACATTAACCTCGACGCCTATCCGGAAGAATCTCCAGAAGCTCAGATCCGTTGGCATTCAGAGGTGGCCTGACATTCATCGTCGGAGAGTCGAGGCTGCCATCAATCGCATCACAAACGGTAGGTTCGATGTCATCGGTATTGTTTTTATTGTTAACATCGTCTAACGCGTCAATTTGTTTCAGCTAGTTGGAAAAGAGAAAATAATCAAAGGGAGAGATCGATCACGATGGCCCCAATTCAGGTGAACGCGCCCAGCCTCGCTGCACGCCTCAAGGCTAAGAAGGGCGAGAAGAAGGATCAACAGGCTTCTGCCTCTCGATCTGAGCATTCAGATCGAGTGCAGATGGTTCAGAGGGATGCCAAAGTCGTTCCTCAACACGATGCAAACTTCGTTTCTGCTGTTGAGGGCGAGGTCGAGACTCAAGTTGCTGATCACGACCCTGGACTCGATGTCCAAAATCGAGAGGAGAGCCGTCAGGAAGACGAGTCGGACGAAGCCGCTAGATCGGCGAAGAAGGCGGACAAGAAACTGAAGAAGAAGAAGGACAAGAAGAGGAAGGAGAGGATGGAAGAAGCTGAAGCCGCTCGTCTGGCTCATCAACAGGAGAAGGAAGAGGTCACCAAGGATAAGGCGAGTGGAAAAAGGAAGGAGCCTTCTGAGAGGGATGGAGGTCGAGCCAGTGGTGAGGAGGCAAAAAAACGAGCGAAGGTCGCTCCGTCTCGCGGCGATAAAGTCAAGGAAGTCGATTGGCGTTTCTCTTTTGAGTATCCCGAATCGAGCAAACCATTTGTCAACGACACTGACAAGTGTGCCGAGCTCTTCGGGAAGAGAAGGGGATCTACTACCGAGGTTCCCACTGGCTCCGATGCAGCTTACAAGGAAATGGCGAGTTTCGCCTTCAAGGTACGTGATGCGCAGATCGCTTTTGACGTTTATGTTTGCGATTTGGGTTCGACTCTCATGGTTTCCTTGTTCTTTTTGTTCAGTTTATCGCGAGCTGCAATTGCACGAGGGGCCAATACCTGCGTATGCTCCAGAACGCCGCGACCAAGCTGAAGAATGCCCAGACTGCTGGTCAGAGGGCAGTGGACGAACGCGATACCGCCATCGCTCAGCGCAGGCTTGCCGAGGCCAACTGGCAAGCCATGAAGAGAAAACGGAGCCGCTGGATGTCGGGGTGAAGGAGTTGACCGAGAAGGTCAAGACGATGAGGCTGGAGAACTTGGACTTGGTCAAGAATCTTCAGCTGGTCAACGAGGCTAAAATCGAAGCTGAGAAGTCGATTGCTACCGAGGTCGTTCCCGCGCAGCGTCGCGCCGAAGAGAAGATTGAGACAGAGACCACTCGAATCTGGGCGGACGCTGAAGCCAAGTACTCGGGTCGCATTGACCGGCTGAGGACTCGTATTGCCGAGCAAGAGGCGATTGAGCAGGTGAAACTTGACCTCGTTCAAGCTCGAGGTACTCTGGAGTGCCTCGATCTTTTGAAGGAACAAGAAATGTCAGAGGCAGAGCTGAAAGCCGAGCTTGAAGCAACGAGGCACGACTGCGAGCTGAAGCTGGAAAATCTTAGCCTCACCGATCTCGAGGAGGGCGACTTGCCTCCGCCTTACCCCGAAACTCAAGATGGCGGTTCAGACCACGACGATGCCGAGGATCGCGAAGATCGCGAGGACGGTACTCAGCCCGAAGAATAGATCTCGTCTTCCTTTTCTCTCTGTTATTGCTTCTTTTCTTTTTACTTTGTAATGACTCGACCATGATTATCGTTTTTCCTCGTTTGTAATGACTCGACCTGTTTTCATTAATGGATCGTAAAAAGACAATAGAATCGAGATATGCTTAAGCAAAGCAAAACGACTAAAACGAGGTGTAAATTTGTTCTTGAAGCAATACCTCGCAATTTAAATCGTAAACAATAATGGATACGAGATATAACTACTGAGATGAGCTGAAAATTTGTGTAACAAAACAACTGTGACGAGGCGAAAATTTGCTTAACAGGATAACTGATGCGAGGTAAAAATTCTAGAAGAACAATAGGAGCGAGGTATGACTCGGCTTATTAGACAATAGGTGCGAGGTATGACTCGGCTTACCCTGTTTTATTTCATTAATCGTGTCCGAATAGTGAGGATGACCTCGACGTAATTATTCGGGTGATTTAAGAAAGGATGCAGGACTGGTCCCTCGTAAGAGGTTGCCTACGTACCCAACAAACTGGGATCAAGCCGATCGTAGTTCACATTCGAGATCTAGCTCGACCGAATATAGCTCGGTGAGTGTCCCTTTTTTTTTTTTAGTAGTAATACCGCTTAATGTTCATCGAGTTCCATGATCGAGGTATCATTTCGCCGTCCATCGTCATTAGCTCGTAAACGTCAGGTTTTACAACGTTGGTGATTTGGTAGGGGCCTTCCCTCTTTGCGCATAGCTTTCCGGCGCGGTATTCTTCGGTGTTCTCGAACACTTTGCGAAGAACGAGGTCGCCAGTTTCGAAGTGCCTACCTTTCACTCGTTTGTTGTAGTAACGTGCGATCTGCTGCTGATAGTTTTGCATGCGTAATAAAGCGCGATTTCGCTCCTCCTCGAGCATGTCGAGGCTATCCTTTATCATTCTTCCGTTCCTTTTGCTGTCTTGTGTCAGCATTGTTCTGCGTATGCTCGGTAAACCGACCTCGGCAGGAGCTAAGGCTTTCATGCCGTGAGACAATGAGAAGGGAGTTTTGTTCGTCGATCGTCGTGGTGTAGTTCGATGTGACCGTAGAACTCCGTCTAACTCGTCTGCCCATAAACCTTTCTTAGCTTCGAGTCTTTTCTTGATGCCGTCGAGGATAGTCTTGTTGGTTGCCTCGGCTTGTCCGTTTCCTTGTAGGTATCGCGGTGTAGACTTGCTTAGCCGTATTTTCCATTTGGCGCAGAAGTCTTCGAATACGTCGGAGATAAACTGAGGACCATTATCAGTGACGATTTCGTAGGGTAGTCCGTGGCGGCAGATGATGTTTTTCCAGATGAATTTCTTCACATCGATCGCTTGGATTTTGGCATAAGATTCGGCCTCGACCCATTTTGTAAAGTAATCGGTGATGATAAGTATGAATCGTTTTTGTCGAGATCGAGGGATAAGGCGGCGAGGAAGCGGCCAGGAGTTCGGCTGGTGCGTGGATCATTGGCGCATGTCGTTGGCATTGCTCGCAGCGAGCTACGAATTGATCACAATCTGTTAGCATTGTCGGCCAAAAATGGCCGTGGTTCTTGATTTTTAGAGCGAGAGCTCGACCGTTGGAGTGATTTCCACACGCTCCTTCGTGTGTTTCTCGCATGACATCGAGTGTCTCCTCGCCGTGCAGACAGTTGAGCAGGGCGCTTGTTGAGCTCCAACGGTAGAGGTCGCCGTGTGACTAAACGTATTTGGCGCTTCGAGCTTTCAAACGCCTTGCTGCCCATCGGTCGGGTGGGACTTGGCCATCTGTAATATAGAGCATGATTTCGATCCTCCAGTCGTCGGTTGTTGGCTCTTGTTCAGCAGGCTCATCGACGACATCGGAAAGGGGTAATTCGATGGCGTCCATGCTGCTTGCATCGAGCTCTCGAACAGCACATACTCCTCGAGGTAGGACGATGCTGGGGGAATCGATGCTTTTGACCGGGATAACTCGCCTTTGATGTGATTCGGACGTCGAAGCGAGAGCGGCCAGTGTGTCTGCGGACGTGTTGTCGCTTCTCGGGATTCTGGTGAGGGGAAAAGATTCGAAGCGATCAGTGAGGTGCTTGACGGCTTTAAGATACAAGTCCATCCGGTCATTCCTGGTATCGTAGTCGCCGCTGTATTGGCTAGCAACGAGCTGTGAGTCACAGAAAGCTTCGATTTTCTTAACTCTGATCCCTTGGGCTAGACGAAGTCCCGCAAGTAGGGCCTCGTACTCTGCTTCATTATTGGAGGCTGGAAATTCGAGTCGAAACGATTGCTCCAGTATTTCTTTCGTCGGGGACTCTAGTCGGATGCCGATACCCGCGCCTTGGGACGAGGAAGATCCGTCGACGTACAAGGACCACTTCTCGTCGGGGAGGTCGGTCTGGATTAGTTCCGGGGGAAGCTCCACCAGAAAATCTGCGAGGACCTGCGATTTTGCGCTTGTCTTATTGTGATATTCGATGTCATACTCTGTTAGCTGGACAGCCCACTTCGCCATGCGACCTGACAGGCTTGGGCTGTGTAGTATCGTTCGAAGTGGTTGATTCGTAAGGACGACGATTGAATGGGATTGGAAGTAAGGTCTTAACTTTCTGGCGGACATGATGACCGCAAGTGCGAGTTTCACCAAGGTTGGGTATCGTTTTTCTGCGTCGTCCAGAGTTTTACTAACGTAGAAAATTAGTTTTTGCTCGTCTCGATCTTCCTTGACTAAGACGCCGCTCACCGCCGAGCTCGATACGGCGATGTAAAGGTAAAGGGTTTCGCCCGTTTCAGGTTTCGCTAAAATTGGTGGACTCGCGAGGTATTCCTTCAATTGTTGGAAATCTTCTTCACACTTGATATCCCATTCGAAACGCTTATTGCCTCGGAGGAGCTGATAGAACGAAAGACACTTATCTGTCGAGCGAGAGATGAATCGGTTAAGCCCTGCGATCCGGCTAGTGATACATTGAACCTCGCGAGTGTTGCGAGGTGATGGGAGATTGATTAGGGCATCGATCTGCTTTGGGTTTGCTTCGATTCCCCGTTTAGTGACGATGTAGCCAAAGAATTCTCCGGACGTAACTCCGAAGGTAAACTTCGTCGGATTGAGCTTCATCTGATATCGGTTCAGGACGGTGAAGCAAGCCTATACATGACCGATGTGATCATCGGCGGTGAGTGATTTTACTAGCATATCATCGATGTAGACCTCCATTGTTCGTCCATACTGCTCGGCGAACATGTGGTTGACTAGTCGTTGATACGTCGCACCCGCATTCTTTAAGCCAAAAGGCATTACCTTGTAACAGTAGGTCCCCCGATCGGTGATGAAGGACGTCTTTTCACGATCTTCGGGATGCATCGTGATTTGATTATAGCCAGAGAAGGCGTCCATGAATGACAAGAGTTCGTTTCCTGCAGTTGCCTCGACGATTCGATCGATATGTGGCAAGGGGAAACAATCCTTGGGGCACGCCTTGTTGAGATCGGTGAAGTCCACACAGATTCGCCATTTGCCATTCTTCTTTTTGACGACGACTGGGTTTGCCAACCACTCCGGATATTTGACCTCGACGATCGAGCCAGCCTTCGACCAACACTCGACTTCATCATTGACGGCTTGTGCCTTTTCCGGTTTTTGACCAACACTCGACTTCATCAACCGTTTTTGCTTGATCGGTTTACACGTAGGGTCAATGTTGAGCTCGTGACTCGTTATTGAGGGATCGATCCCAGGCATATCGCGTACCGACCAGGCAAATGTCGATGCATTTTGGCGAAGAAGTCGTACGAGCTCAACCTTAATCTCCTCCTTTAGGTCAGCCCCGATTCCTACACATCGTTCGGGGTCGCTTTCGTCGATGTTTACTTGGACGACGAGTCCTGCTTGGGTCTTTCCTGAGATGGTAAATCGGCTTGAGTTATGGGTAAAATCATAAGGCACGTCTTGGCTGGGACTATGGATTTGAATCAAAGCTTGTGTTCGGCGGCGAAGCAGTCTCAATATCTCTTGAGAGCCTCGAATAGTTTTTACCCCGAACGCGGTTGGGAACTTGAGGCATTGATGATAGGTTGATGGCACCGCCTTCATGAATTGTAGCCTGGGCGTTCCCAGAATTACGTTATAGATGGCTGGTTTGTCGATGACGACAAATTTGACGAGGCGGGTCGTCTTTGCTGCGTAGACCGAGAGTCTGATCGTTCCGATTGAGTAGACCGTATCGCCATTGAACCCTGTGAGTGGCTTAACCGAGGACTTGAGGTGATGGTTCGCCAGATCCATTTTATCAAGCGTTTCTTTGAAAATCAGGTCCACTGAGCTCCCTGTATCGACCAATATCCGCGATACCTCGCAATCTGCAACCCACAGCTCGATCACAAGCGGGTCGTTATGTGGCATGTCGACTCCCTCCGTGTCGGCCTCAGTGAATGTGATCGCATCACTTTCAGCAGTCTTGGGGCTTTTGACCTGCCATTTTTGCGCAAGCATGACTTGGCGGCCGTACTTTTTTATCGATCTAACGGAGTCGTTGTATGTCGATAGGCCTCCCATAATAAAAAACACCTTTTTTGAGATGCCGGAGGAGTGTCACCTCGAGGTTGGTTACCTCGATCTCTCTTCACGAGGTCGTCGTTGGGTCGCTCGTTCGTTGGGGGAGGAGGTCGAGCTTCGTTGTTACGCGGCGCGGTGTTTTGGGGCTGGTTTGCTAATGCGATCTCTCCCTTGCGATATTTGGCGAGCAAATAAGCCTGTAGCTCGCGACACATCGCAGTCGAGTGACCGTACTTGTTGTGATAGTCGCAGAAAGATCGTGTCTCCCCGCGGTCTCCTCGTTGCCAAGTATTTGATTGGTTTTGGTACTGGCGATTCTGTTGCTGTTGAGTGTTAATGTTGTATGTCGCTCCTTGGCGATTGTCACCTCGATAGTTACTGTCGAGGTGTTGTCAAGGTTCTTGATAATCTTGTTTGGGGATTTCTTTGTGAGGCTGCTGCCTTGGCGTCGCTTTTGCTGGCGAGGCAATCTCTTTTTCTTCCTCGTCCTCGATGTATAAGGTGGCACGGTGAAGCGCGTCTTCTAGAGTTCGGGGTTTACTGAACTTGAGGCTGTCTCGAAACTTCGTATCAATTCGTAGGGCATTCCGAAGGGCCGATAGTGATGCTTTGTCGGTCACGATAATACGAGAAACGATCGCATTGAACCTGCCGATGAAAGATCGAAGAGATTCTTTGTCACCCTGTTTGATCAGGAAGAGATCGGCACTGGAAACTGCGCCTTGGACGTACATCATGTATCTCTTGAGGAAGGCAGTCGACAATGCTTGGTAGCTGTCAATCGAGTTCGCTTTTAACTTGGAGAACCAAACGAGAGCTGCACCACTGAGATTTTCGACGAACAGCTGACAAACCAGCATCTTTCTCCTTGGGGGTGAATCGTGCTCGACCCATTTGAATGCTGAACGCAGTCATAAATTGGCTTGGGTCCGAGTTGCCCGTATATGTCGGAAGATTGAACTTCACTTGAGTTCGTATCGGGAAGTCGGTGATTCGGGTCGTAAATGGTGTGCTTTGGCTTTCTTTCAGCACACGATCGATCTCAGGTGCGGAGCTAGTAGCTTGATGTACCAGCGAGGTCATGGCTCGCAATTTGGCCCTCATTTCGCTCATTTCTTCGTCTTGTTGTGGGTTTCTTATTTGAAGTCGACGCGTTTCGTGTTCGGGAGCTCCGATGTTCACCTCGTCACAATTCGAGGTTAGGTGATTTTCTGTTGTCGGTGGTGCGGGAGAGTCTCCGAATAAGAAGCGCTGTACACGTTGAATTTCTTGTGCTCGTCTCTCCGGGGCTTGGGTCTCTGACGAGTGCAATATGTTGACTTGGTCTTGACAAGAAAGTTGTGCCGCAGCTAGCTCGTTCAGGCGAGCACTTGTCTGATGATTCAACTCTTCCATTCGAGCCATCATTGTTGCAAATAATGTTGCGACGTCGGCAGGAGCTGGTGTGCTTCGGTTTACATCTTGTGCTTCTGGGTGTAAGGTCGTGTTTTCTACGGGATTCATCGTCGGTGGTCGCCTATTCGAGGTCTCTGGATTATTAGCTGGTGACACGTTAAGTCCCTCTTCGGCAATAGTCGATGTGGGCGGATTGGTCGTCTCATTGGTTTGAATTCCTGACATTATCGAGCCCCTCTTTGCGTAGAAAGAAATCTCTTAGCCCCACGGTGTGCGCCAATTGTTGTTTAGTATTCGCACACGAGGTTGATTTGGTAAATATTTCTAGGTGGAGCTCGGAGATTCTTGTTAGATAGAGGTGAGGTCGATATGATTTCTTCGAAGTCTTTTAGCGAGGTCAGCTAAGCGAGGTAAGAGTTAGTGATCTCAAGTTTCGAGTATTTTAGTCTTTGTTTCAGATTACGGATCCCGTAATAAATGAAGTTACAAAGCTATTTATAGTGTTCAAATTAGGTTACATCTCGGTCAGAGTAGCTTGGGCGGCCGGATAGATAGACCTGACCGACCGTCTATCGGAATGTCGTGCTGGCGAGCTGTTCATCTACGTCGACGTGGCGAGCTGCTTCACCTACGTCGACGTGGCGAGCTGCTCCTTTGATAGGGGGGCTTATCTCTTACAACGACCTCGTTTTAACTTTGCGAATGGGCTTGTCCATCTTCGATCTTGTTGGGCCTTTTCAATTCGCTAACGGGCCTGGTCGAAGTTACGGAAAAAGGGCTATGCTCAACCCACCTACATCATTTGATGCTTACAGAGAGAATACAACTTGTATTAAATAGAGCAAGGTATCACAATCAGGTTTTGACACCTGTAAAATCAATCATCATCTGAAAGACACAATGCACCAAACTTGTTAATGCTCCCAAACGCATCAAGACCTGTTATGGGGGGCTTGTAGATGTTGCAGCAATATGTTGTCTTCGTAATATCAAACCTAAGATCCTCTACATGGTCTACAAAGGTGTAAATCTCATTGTTCCAAGCGTAAAACTCAGCTCCAAAACCTTTGATTTTAATACTTTGGAGAGTGTCCTTTTCGGGATTGAAGTAGAAAACACGAAACGGTTTACGTATTCGTCTCATCCGTCTCACCGAGAACACAATTGCACCAGTAGCTGTGACTCCAGCGACCGAAACTTCATTGTAGCGATCAAAATATTTATCATCCTCCAAAGTGTAGACATATTTTGAAGTTCTCTGTTTTTCCGTATCCTCTAGAATCAGCATATACAGCTCCATAGTTCCATTGTCTCCATATTTCCAAAGAATCACACTTAATTCACCCTTATAATTTATCAGTTTCCCCTCAAAATAAAATAATTCTACATCAATGAGTTTGTAATTCTCAGATTTAATATCAAAGCAAACTATCCTATAAGTTCCATCAAATTGAGCAAAGTAATACAAAACCCCATTGATGCATATCCCTTGAGAAAAACAACGAGATAAAGATAAAGGACAACATTGTATCTTCCTCCAACTCATTTCTCCAATCCCTAGTGTCAGAATTTTATGACCATCATCAGCCACTGACAATACCTTGAATTGCTTGTCAATTGGATCAAATCCTAAATAGCTTCTCGAGTTTCTGTATATTTTCAATGAAGGTAAGCTTGCATACTGACCTGTACTAGGGTTACATATCACATGCACTCTACGCTCATCCCCTTTTGCGATCCACACATCATGAGTGAAACAGATCAAACCAGAGACATAGCCACAAAAGTCCAGCCACGTGTCTTCAGGACACTTCAAATGAGAATATGAGGCAGCTAGAAGAGACGCCTTGCCATACGGGTTAGGAGGTTGAGTCGACGAGAAGAAGAGCCACTCACTGTTTCGATCTATAGGGACATCTCTTTTGAGGGCGAATAAGAGACGTGGATGAGCAGAGGACCTGGTTAGGAACAACTCAGTGAAATATGAACGGTGAAACGTGGAACTCCATAGCTTCGACACGCAACGAAACCTAGCGATTGACTTTGCAGGCAATCTCGAGGATATCTGGATAATGAGATCAATCGGGATATAATTCATGTGAGAGATATGTGAAAACAAGATTGCAAAATCATCGCAGGGACTAACTAATATACTGTATATATATATAGAGTTCGAATGCCCTAGCCCCTAGGGCACTTATTCCAGTCTGAACCAATTCAAGGTTTGGTTAATTTGGTTCGATTCCGGTTTAGGGATATAAACCGATAAAAAATAGATGTTACTTATTTTGTCTGTAACATTTTAATGTCTTGTCTATCTGTTGTTTCCCTGAGGCTTTAAGATCTGTTGAATTTTGGAGCAAATTTTAAAATGAGTGCATTGAAGTAGGATAATACTAAGAACCAAAGCAACACAACCTGTGAACAAGACCACGGAATTTTTTTTTTCTTTTTACATCTTAGTTTACTTAGTTTAAGCAGAGATCACACAAATCTTGTTTACTTAGCTTATTAGTTTTACCCATTTTTCATCGTAGATTTCTACTTTTACTTATCCTGTAGGGAATAGTGTATCATTTCATCTTGTAATTTTCCAATTGGACTATCAAAAGCGGTTTCTATTTTTTATGTAATCGATTACTTGGAATTCACACAATAAATCCAAGAACTCTGATGCATCGCAGTCAAAAAATCAAGAGTCTACTGCAAAAAAAAAAAAAAACAAAGAAAATGCAAAACTGAAACATGTACTAACAGAAACGATTTGAAAGGTTCCAATCACAGTTTCATAAGGGATGGGGACATTTGAGAAAATAAAATACAGAACTGGAAGAGGAAGCGAAAATTTCTAACAAGGACGAGAAAAAGCTTCTTCCATGTGAGGATCTCTGAGCAAAACAAACCTTATGTTATGTCGTAATTTATCTTCATACCCAAGTTTCACAAATTGGATGATGTTACAGTTTCAAACATACGACCTATTCTACCTTTTTTTGTTATGGTATTATAATATAAAGTTTTCGAAAAAATAATTTCAACTTAAAACCCTTATCAATCGTATTTTGATATGAATTCCCAAGTTTTTTTTTTTCTTCTGAACCACCTCGATTTTCAGGAGAGGAAGAACTTAAAACATATATTCCTGAAAACTACAAGAAATCTAGGAAAAGAAAACACATTAATCAGAACCACAGCTGCAAACTTATAAAACAAAATTAAAAAAAAACTGATTAATACGAACTGAAACTTCTCTTCTCTGTTGATACTATCACTCACCATTCTTCTTCTTCTATTAATCTCAAGCTGTTGATTTTGTCGATTTTGGGTTTTGAAAACAAAATGACTGTATTTCTGGTCGTCAAATTGGATGTCCAATGCATAACGTATGTAACAATTAACGTCTCAAAATTTTAGATGACATGATAAATTTTATAAATGATAAGAATCATTGGACCGAATCAGATGAACTGTTGGTGTTGGATTTAGATCAAATCCGGCCCATACTTCGGACAAGTCATCGCACAAGCTTCGATGGGCTTTGAAGCCCATCGACTCGAGAAAAGAGGATTTTGGAAGGATATTCGGCAGGATGCAGCAAGCTACGAGAATGAGGAGGAGTGGATGAGAGAAGATCCCGAAGATTTCGGAGAGGTAGAGATCGAAGTATCCCGGAAGTCTCGCAGTAGTTAGTATCGACCTACTGAGTATAAAAAAGATCTCGATTCCATGTATAAGATCATCTAATTTTCAGCTAGAAACACACTGGTAAACTTATAATATCATTAATACAAATCCAATTCATCGATCTTAGTCTTCTGTTTCACATCGATCTCTATCAGAATTCTTGCCCACTTTCTTCTTCTACTAAACCAAACACTAAATCCTTGAGTGTGGATTTTAGGATCCACATTTTGGCGCCGTCTGTGGGGAAGAAACAAAGAAATTCTTACACCTGAGACCGATCTCAAAGACAAGTAAGAACAAAATGGATCCCAAAAACACCGAGACATCTGGTCCAAGGACAAGCTATGGCCCGCGCTAAACCCTAGCACATCGACTCTCCGATCTGGAGATGTCGAAATCACTGGAGCGCAGAGCTCATCCGGCCAGAAACAAACAGGTGAATCGAGCGTCGTAAACCCGACACCCAGCTCGACTCACGCTGCTACCACAAGCGTGACACGTACTGTCGGAACAACCGCGGCGTCTCGTTCGGATCCCAGACCACCTCCGCTACACACGTACTCGCGGACCTGGACAAGATCTGGAATTTCACAGGCCGGATCCACCAATTCGGACCAAACCAAACCAGCTCGGGCTGGACCGTCCCAAACAGTAACCGGTGACGACCTGGCGGAATTCCGAAGGATGTTAGCCTTACTAGCAGAGAAAGCCCGCGAACAACGAGCTATCCTCGCGCAAAACGAGAAGGAAATAGCCAACATCCGAAAAGAGCGGGCACAGCCAGCTCCAACTGACGATGAGGATCCAGACGATCTATCCGAAGAGGAAGATCTGAATCCGACGCCAAGTCCGCTCCCAACAACTCGCTTGGAGTTCGAACATCTCACACGTGGCGACCCGTCCACGCAGTTCGTTACTCCACCGCAGAACAACAACGCTCCTTTGTTTAGCGAAGTGACCAACCATCTGCCTGTGTTCAGATCCGGACAAGCGGAGCGCGAAACCCCGGCAGCTGACGATCGTCACGATCCGCTATTAACACCCCCGCTCTTCCGCGGATCACAAGGTCGTAGTACGAATCGTACTAACCCGCCTACTGACAGACGATCTAACGAAGAACGGACTGCTGACAACACTTTCCAAACCGGAAGTCAGCAACAAGGAAACGCGCGCAATAAAAAGCGCGCGGAAGATCCTCCAAAGATCATAGATCCGCGATCTATAAACGACTTCGATGCGCTCCAGTGATACATCGAAGCAAACAACGCCGAGCTGAAACGTATGTACGCCGCAGTACATAAAGCAACGAGCGCGGCTCTTGATATAGATCGCGTGCCGGACGAAACTAGAAGGACTCCCTTCACAGATCGCATAGCTAATGCTAAGATCAAGGACACTGGGAAAATGCGGTTTCCAGAAGGCCACGGAGGCCGACCTCTGGACAGGCAGACAGAACCACCAGGAACCCTTGCGGGCTTACTTGGCCAGGTTCAAAGAAATTAAGTCCAGGATAGCCGATTTGAATGAGGGAGTAGCACTCTCTGTGCTCAAACAAGGGCTATGGTTCGACTCGCCCTTCCGACAAGAACTTTCAGTTCGTTGTCCGGAAACAATAGACGACGCTCTCCATAGAGCCGCGAGCTTTGCCCAGTACGAGGAGGAACAGAATATCCTCCGAGAACAGTACGAGGCAGGTTTATTAGTGCCTAGTCCCGCCACTACCAAAAAGGCAACCAAAAAGGAGGCCGGCGGCAAAGGTATACATGCTTTCACAATAGGTAGCTCATCGAAAAAAGAGTCAAAGAAGGATAAGAAATCGACCTATGATGCGAGCAAATTCTGCACTCATCATAATAAGAAGGGACATTCTACAGAAGAATGCCGCACAGTCTTAGCCGAAAAGGCTAAACTTGCCGCGAAGGCCGCAGAACAAGAGGGGGAGCCCACAGGAAAAAACGAGGAACCGAAAAACTCAAAAACTTCAAATAAGAAGAGAGATCGAGCTCCCACGGATGAAAATCCGAGCTCTCCCCCTCCGGGCCCGAAAAAGAGAATAGACCTCATATTTAGGGGAATAACTCGGTGTGGAGGATCTATGAAGTCGGTGATCTCACCTCCACCCGCCCCCAAAAAGGATGCAAAGCCGCAAACTAGCAATCAGCTAGTGGAAGTTCGTAAGTCCGCAAAACCGGAACTTCCCAAATTCTAGAGAATCCTGCAACTCTTCGAGCGACCCAAGCCTAAGCGAATAAATTTCATATCCAGAGGCTCTAAATACTGCCGAAATTCAGTAAACTCGATAAAAGCCTACCAGAGAAGGGTTGAGACCGATATGCGGGAGCGTGCTCCCTTACTGGGTCCCAACCACAAAGTAGTTTTCCTGGAAAGCGAAACACTCGATTTAGACAAACCACACGACGATGCTCTAGTAGTTCGTCTCGATGTAGGGGGGTGTGAGCTATCCAGGATTATGATCGACACCGGGAGCTTGGTTGATGTGTTGTTCTATAACACATACAAGCAAATGGACTTCGGTGACGACATACTCTGCGACACCAGATCGCCGCTAACCGGCTTCGCAGGCGAAACCACCTATTCGATGGGTACTATCACGCTCCCGGTAGTAGCCGGCGGAGTCCAACAACTAACAGTATTCGAGGTTGTAGATCGCTCCGCCCCCTACAATGCCATACTAGGGAGGCCATGGCTCTATAATATGAGAGCAGTACCTTACACATACCATCAATGCGTGAAATTCCCAACCGCTGAAGGAGTCAAGACAGTCCGCGGAAGCCAACGAGCTTCCAGAATGTGCTACATGACAGGACACAAGCAAATCGATCAATCCCCTTTGTAGCAACTACATAAACAAGAAGAGCTCGCCGAATAGCGGGAAAAACGGGGAAACGACCCCACGACTCGCGGTCCACGCAAGGACCTGGTCGTTCCAGTCCGTATTGACGAAAAGCACCCCGACTAAGTAGTCAACATCGAATCAGAACTCTCGAGCTCTGTCCGTGACGAACTCGTAAAGTTCCTCAAAGTGAATATTGCAACCTTCGCATGGTCTACAGAGGACATGCCTGGAATAGACTTGCAAATAACTTCCCACGAACTGAACGTCAACCCGACCTTCAAACCCGTCAAACAAAAACGCCGCAAGCTCGACCCAGACCGAGCCAAAGCAGTGAATGACGAGGTGGACCGACTACTCAAAGTCGGTTCAATTAGGAAGTTAAGTACCCAGATTGGCTAGCCAACCCGGTTGTTGTCAAAAAGAAAAATGGGAAGTGGAGAGTCTGTGTAGACTTCACCGACCTAAACAAAGCATGCCCGAAAGATAGCTTCCCACTCCCTCACATAGATCGATTGGTAGAAGGTACAGCGGGACATGAGCTATTGTCTTTCATGGAC